TCCTCTATCACTCTGGGTGTGATGGTAGCAGTGCGCGAAGGCGTCAAATGTCCCCACACCTCACGGACGGGAGGGAATCGGTTGTTCCTGGACGGGCCCAGGTTGCTGCAAGCTCTTGCGCAGCCCTTCGATTTCACGCACTGTGATCATCATCCCCGCCATCAAAATCATCTTCATCACCACCTACATCTTCATCACCATCTCATCACCCGTGCCCGCAGCCACATCATGAACAATATCTTCATCACCATCACCATCGGCGTCAAAATCGACGTGTCTTCCAGACGGCCCGAAGACATCCGGATCTAGTCTTCATGTATCCCGTTCTGAATAAAAAGGGGGCCAGCGGCAGGGGGCGAAGCCCTTAGCGAGGCCTTTACATATCAAAATCATCAGAGTAGGTTCTAAGGGGTCTTTCTTGGTTCTTGGGATGAGAGCGTCTGGACGGTATTCGGAAGTTCGGTACAATTCTGCTTTGGGTAACGCAAGGTAGCTTGAACTGCATTTGCGGTGACAACAACATCATCATATCGGATTCGGATGGAATGTGGCCAACTTAGCCGCCATATGCGTACATTTATATGCAAACATATTTGTACATACGCATACGAGGTATATGTCTGCATCTGCGTTCTGCGACCAAGCCTGAACACATTGGCAAACATATCGGTCCAACCCCGAATCAAAGAGGCAACACATTCCATGCCGCTCAACACGCAACGCTACCACGGACGGGCTGGATGAACTTGCCGTGAACACACCCGTGTTCAATATTACTCGACCGCGATACTGCAGTCCCCCAGCTATCGTCACAAGGCGAACCATAAAGCTCATGCTCGCCTCTAAGGCTAATGCTCGCCTCTCATTGGCCGTGGCTCTTCCATAACGAGGCAGCCATGCAATCTACTACGGATCTCATGTAAATCGGGCCACCCGCCACCGCGCATCTCACCGACACACGCAGCAGCTAGAGATACCACTGCGGGCGGCTGGGTGGTTCGGGGCGGCCGTAGTGTCTGCAAGGTCAATCAACACCGAATCCAGAAACCACAGCGAATCGGAATACGCGTCGGATCGGACTCCACCGGCAAAAGCCGCACGGGATCGCCGGGAAATCGAAATCCAACCGGGTAGAGCCAAGTGAACCCAGCATCTAATCGAACCAATCGGATGGAGACTTTGGACGGTCGGAAGGGGTGCGGAAAACGCGGTACGATGCCCAACATCAAGTGCTGCCCAACACCGACAGCGACCGCTGCTGGGCAGGCGGGCTTCTGTCTCGAATGGACCACGCCCACGGCGGCACCCACAGCGCACCCTGCTCAAAACGGACAACACGCACATGCTGCCGATGTTTGCCCCCGCTCTCTCCGCATTCCGGCACCGCTCGTGCCGGGAGGTGGGCCCCGGCGTGCTGCGGGAGTCTTCGGCACGCCACGTGCGCCCCAGGACGCCGCTTCCCGAACTCTGCTCCTCAGCGCAACGATACTCTCGGGTCGGGCACGTCCTCCCACAGGGGGAGTGTGGACGACAAGCCAAGAGCACCCCCAAGATGCTCCAAAAGAGTCAAACATAAGTCGTCCCGGTGCTATTTGTTGACAAATTTTGAATGCTCCTGTAGAGTTAAGCCGGGCCTGTCCCCCTACAGGCCGATTTTGGACGACAAATGAAGCATACCCCCCAAAATGCCCTAAACATGCTCAGACGTGCTCCAAAAAAATAGTCCCCAGACTATTTTTTTGTCACCACCTTTGCGCGTTCCCCCTGTACGGGGGACAGGCCCGACTGACCCGTCGAGGGGCGGGCCCGACGCAACGCCGCCCCCACGCAGCGGTGCCGACGCCCGGGGCGCGACGGCGTCAGCGGCAGCCCGCCCCGTGGCCGCGGGCTGCCGCGGGCTGCCGCGCGCCCCGAGGCATGGCGGAGCTCGCAGGGCAGTGCCCGGTGCGCCGTGGCCGGGCCCCTCCTGCTGCCGGCGGGTCGCCTCCGGGCGGAGACTCCCCCTTCCCCCTTCCTCCTCCTCCTCCTCCTCCTCCTCTCCTCCTCCTCCTCCTCCTCCTCCTCCTCCTCCTCCTCCTCCTCCTCGTCCCCCTCCTCCTCCTCCTCCTCCTCCTCCCCCTCCCCCTCCTCCTCCTCCTCCTCCTCCTCCTCCTCCTCCTCCTCCTCCTCCTCCTCCTCCTCCTCCTCCTCCTCCTGCCGGAGACGTGAGGTGACAATGAACAGGGGCTGCCTGTCCTCTGAGCCCGAGGAGACGCATAGCATTCCCTAGGGTTATGTCGGGCGTGTCCCCCTACAGCGGGTTTTTGGGCGAAAGATGAAACATACCCTCAAAAATGCCCCCAAAAAGGTCAAATAATATACTCAAGAAATAGTCCCCAGACTATTTTTGGATTATTTTTGGGACTATTTTTGGGGTATTTAAAAAAACAATTCGTCGACAATCCCCCTGTAGGGGGACAGGCCCGACACAACCATGGCCAGGCCCCTCCTGCTGCCGGCGGGTCGCCTCCGGGAGAAGCGGGGAGGCGTGACATCGGGGATGGACAGAGCCGCCCCCTTTAGTACCGTCGGGGCCTTCACCTGAGGAACCCAAAATAAGGAACGAGGCCCCTTTTTTCCATAAGTTAAGCTTCGATTTCCGATCCAAAACATAAGGGAAGCCTGAGGCAAGCTGCGGAACACTTAAGGAACGCGGAGCCCCTCCCCAACGAAAAGGGTTCCTTCTCCAGAGCCCCCTTTAGTAAAGCGTGGTTTCGTGAAAACGACCTCGGGCCCAACCCTGGCGGGCGCAGGCCTGGAGAAGGACGGCCGCGGTGTCCTCTCGAGAGCCGAAAAGGGACGGTTCACTCATCGACGTGTCAGGGTAGGAGGTCTGTCCACCCCCGATGAAATGAAAATGAACAGGGGCCACCTGTCCTCTGAGCCCGAGGAGACGCACGGCATCCCCTATAGGGAGATGGTGAACTGCTCGGGGCGGACGCTATGGTCGCCCTTGGAGCGCACTGGTTACCTGTAGAGCTACACAGGGCGTGCCAGGTGGAAAGGAAACTCCCCTACCTGCACGGGGAGACGTAGGACTCGGGTGCGGGGGACTTGGGTTGGCCTGACGGGGGCCATCATAAAAATGACGAGACCCAATCTGAAACTTGACGAGGGCTCCCGCTGCAGACATCCCACGAGAACGTGACCGTCAAGATCCAGGGCGCGCTCGTCAAGAAAGAGTCGGCAAACCCGAGTTCTGGCTTACTCGAGTCCTACGTTTCCCCGAGGGAAACAGAATCGCTCGACACCCCATGGGGAAATCGGATCGCATCGGAACGAGCGCGGGGCCAGGCCGCAACGGCACGGAGCGGGGCAGAACCGGATCGGCCGCGCCTGGGCGCACGACAGCGCCCATGCACACGTCGGGCCGCGTCGGATCGTCGGAGTGCTGGGCTGGTCGGACGCGGCATCGAATGGGATGGATCGGTTGGACAGGGACCCCGAAACGTCGGACGAGTGTCAGGTCGGGCATGTCCTCCTACAGGCTGATTCTGGAGGACAGAGAAAGCATAGTCAAACAAATATCCAAAGCTAACCAAAATAGTAGAAGAGTCGTCCCCAGAGCATTTTTGACTATTTTTAACTATTCCTCCTGTAGAGGAGCATGCCCGACTTACGACTGGTTGGGCTCGACATCGAATCGGATCGATCGGCTCACGAGGGGGGCGGAGCGCGGCTCGGACCCAGCCGACACCGCTCGCGCATTCGAGGATAGCCCCGCACCCCGATCGAATCCAGTCCCCAATTCTTCTTGTCAGCGTTTTCTTCTTCGGCGTCTCGACACTGGGCGGAAGGGGGGGGGAACGGGAGAGGGGGGGGTCTAGCTCTGGATCTCTGCTTGCTGCGACCGTTTGTAGCAGCGCGTCCTGTGAGGGAGACTCAGCCTGCCCGAAACAGGCGCCAAACACATCTAAGATCTACTCCAGGGAGGCGGGGGGGACGGTGGGGTGTGAGGGCCCGTGCAGATCGGCAAAACAATGAATAAGAAAACGGAATTCGAGAAGTCTGGCCCCGATTGTCTCACGACGCTGCGATTTTTCATTGCGTCGGATCTCGGGGGGATCCGATCGGGGTCCGAGTCGACCCGGCCGGTTCAGGAAACTGTGGGTACGCCATTGCCTCCTCCAGGGAATCAACTTCTACTTCTGGCGCCTTGCATCAGTGCACCCGCCCTCGTTTTTTATCCGCAAGCTTCCGCCGAAGGCGAGACTTCAGCCCCTCGACGCCTCAAAAGCGAGGCCTTCTCTTGCGAGACGCCTTGCTTGATACGAGGGAAGCAGGTCCAGAGGGAATCGGGTCTTGTCCCGAGGAAGTTGTCGAGGACGAGGACGAGGAGGAGGAGGAGGAGGAGGAGGGAGGGAGGGAGGGAGGGGAGGGAGGAGGAGGAGGGGCTTCCCCCCAGGGCTAGTTACCAGTTCCCCGTCCCGAGGAAGTTGTCGACGGCCGCGGGGCCCAGGGAGGGCCCCAGGAGGGCCCCAGGGGGCCCGGAGGCCGCGGAGAACCTCCGAGACTCGTTTGCGTCAGGACCCCTCTCATTGTCAGGAGAAGTGTGATGAAAAGCACTCGAGTGTCGGCTCGAGTGTGATGAAACACTCGGCTCAAGCTTGATAAAAGAGCGAGCTGCAGTGGCAACGATGCTCGGCTCAACAAGTGTGATCACACTCGAGCCGAACATATCTTTTTTATCCCACTTGAGCCGAGCATATTGTTTATCACTCTTGAACAGAGCTTGTCATCACGCACTTGAGCTGAACATCGTTGCCATTGCAGCCCGTGAGTGCACATGACTTGCATGGGTCAGGACCCCTCTCCATCATGGCGACTTTTGGAGAACACCCCCGTCCAACGCGGTGCTTCTTTCGCCTGTCGATCTGCCTGCAGAGACTCCGAATGATATCATCGCCACCCCGTCAAGGCGCTGCACGTCTCTCCGGGCTGCATGCCGTTCGCTGGGCGGCCTTCCAGTAGCCGATCACGTCAAACCTCAACTCGCACACGAAAGGCACGTCGTATTCCTCTTAGGCCGTGGCGGAAGAGTAGGAAGAGGGGGATGAGGAGGAGGAGGAGGAAGAGGAAGAGAAGGAGGAGGAGGAGGAGGAAATGAGAAGGGTGAATGCGGGATGGAGGAATCCATAAGTATACCTGAGTCTCTCTCTGTATATGGATACACATACGTACATACATCCATCTGTACATGCATGCATAAGCACATACATACATGCATCCACACGTGTGTACATACATTCATACGCACATACACACATACATACTTACATGCATGCATACATATATACGTACACACATACATACACACGCACATACATATCTACATGGATGCACACATACATACATTCATACACACATACACGCATGTATAAAATAGGCATTCATTCATGCAAACATACATACATACGTACACACATACAAACTCACTTACACATACACACGTACGTACATACATGCATGCACACATGCGCACACACTTACAAACACATAACCATACATACAGACGTACATACAAGCAACCAAACAACCATACATACATACATATTTCTATACATGCTAGAACCACGCGCGCGTTACGCGCGCGCTTAGGGTTTGGCCAGCCCCGACGACGGTTTAGGTGGCACGCGTCCGCCCCCGTGGCGTCTTCTCAAATGCCCTAACACTGTGTTGCCATTTCGCCCGAATTCTACACCCCAAGCCCGAACACCCGACCTGTAACGTCCTCGCGCCCGAATGCTGCAACCCTAACCCTAACCCCCACCCGCCACTGCACTCGAACCTTGGCACTCTGATCCGAACAACCTAGTCCGAATACCCAACCCAGAAATCCGACCCCCTGCGCCCTTACCGTAACGCTGTAGCCCTAGACCCGAACACCTTCACCATAACACCCAAAGTATGATGTTTTCAATTCAATGCTAACACTCTAACGCCAGGGCAAATGAGGTACCGCCAGGGCTACGGCTAAGACTTTGATAGCCGATTTTCTTCACTCAACCAGTATTCGCGGCCATACTTGGTTAATAAATCCACAACTCCCAGGACGCCCACAATAACCCCCCTATAATGCCCAAGAAACCCACGACGCCTCAACCGTGGATCCCATGCCTCTTCTGGGGGTCGGCGGAATGGCGAAAGCCTCTTGAACAAATCCTCTGGTGACCTCTGATCTCTGATCAGCTCACAACGATAGCACCCTAGCAAGAGTAAACAACATCCGCACGTGAAAACCTGATTTGTCACGGAATACCTCTTGGAAACGGCGCCCGCGTCCAACGTGAGCGGTATACTACTCTCCTCAAGGTCATGCCGGCAGCGTCAACAAATAATATCAAGCTGCGGAGACGTGCGAATACAAGCGGCGCCGATTCATTTCCCCAAATGCGCACAACCGATGTTTGATCCGCCCAGGCTACAACGGTTACAATACAGGGGCAGGGACGAGCCCTGGACAATATGTGAGCGGCCTTCGTTCGCAGCCGCTGCGAATTCGGCGAATCCCCAAATTACAAAATCAAATCGATGCACGAGAGCGGCGCCCCTATCCAGCGTGGTCAGGTGCACAGTTGTTCGCCTCTCAAGGCCAAACAACTATGCACTTTAGCATTCCTGGGTTGAGGATCGACGACGCCTCGGGAGACGCGAACGTGTTACAATGCACACGAGTCGTCCGCGTACGATCATGCAGGGCGTGCAAATTACACAACGCATGCGCGGCGTCGTGGTGCGCGTGGCATTAACAGAATGCGGTCACAAGCAGACCGCAGGCCGAGATAAACAGGTGCACCGTGCCGCCTCCGCCGCAGCCCTGTGGTGCGCGGCGCAGGCACCAGAGAAGTGCTCCTTCACTGCGGCGCGGGCGCTGGACCCGTGTGCGGCGGCGCCGTGGCGGGACGTGCTGGCAGGCGAGCTCGACCAGCGAGCTGGGCCGCCGCAGGCCGCCATTGGGCGCGCCTCGCGCGGCTCAGCCCCACAGGGCGACGGCCACCGCCCCGACGGGCGCGGCCAAGACAGCGGCACGACCGGCGCCGCCCTTCCCCTGTCCGAGCCCTCTGCTGTCGGGCAGGCCATCTCGGCCCCGGCGTGCCGCCACCGCCTGCCGCGCAGCGGCGGCCTTGCGCGCCGTGGCCTCGCGGCCCGAGGCCGTGGCGTTGCGCGCCGTGGCCTTGCGCGCCGCGCCGCGGCCACCGTGGCCCCGTCGCGCCGCCGCCGCCCCCTTGCGCGGCCCTGCGGCCGGCGCCGGCACGGCGCGGGCGCCCGCCGGGACCACGACGGTGGCCGTGAGGGCGTCGTGGTCGCTGCCGGCTCCTCCGAGGTTCCTCCTGTCCGAGAAGCTCGCTTCCCCTGTGTTGGCGAAGATGTTGTCGATGCCGCCGAAAGACTCCCCGTGGTAGCCCAGGGTCAGCCTGGTGCTCACCATCTTGACGGTGGCGGACCGGTAGTCGGAGTTGAAATCCCCCATGAAAATGATGACGTCGCCCTCCTCGGCGTGAGCCTTGATGGCGGCCAGGAGGTTATGCGCCGTGGCAAGGCCGCCAGCCTCGCCCCCGGAGTTGATGGGTAGGGGGCCGTGGTGGTTGGCGAAGAACACCCTGTCGCCTCTCTCCCTGTGCTCGAGGCGGACCCACGACATGCAACGGTCGCCCCACTTGTTGTTCCTGACCCAGCCGCCGTCGGTCGCCACCGCGTCGTGGCCCGAGTCGAGCCTCCTCCAGGTCTCGTTCCGCCACGCGACGCACATGGAGTAGAATTCCTCCAAGTGGTCGTAGCTGTCCGAGAGGCCCGCGTCTCCGAGCACCCAGCCGATGTTCTCGCACTCCTGGAAGGCCATTAAGTCGTAAGGCGTGTCGCTGCCCGACTCGGCCACGAGCTTGCCAGCGGCGCCGTCACTGCCGCCGTTCTTGTCGAAGAGGTTCCACCAGTACAGGTTGTAGGTCAGTACCTTGATGCGAAGCGGCTTGACGTGGTCCGTCGTGGCGTTCCACAGCACGGGCAGGTCCTCGTAGGACGTCACGTTCTCCATCCACTTCGAGTCTGGCACGACGCCGGCCCACTCCCAGTTCACGGCGGCACCCCACCAAGTGTAGTCTGGGTGCTGCTTGTCTAGCATCGGGTCTTGCGAGCACCCGTCCTCCTCGGCCTCGCAGCAGCTGCCGGTCTGCCAGCAGTCCTTGCTGCACTCCTGGCACCCCTTCGGCGGGATCTCCTGCACGCACGGGCACAGCCGCGTCGTGGCTCTCGGGGGCGCCGCCTTGCACGAGCGCACGTTGCGGGGCCGCCAGTCCGCCCACACGTTCGGCGGCTTCCAGGGCCCGAAGGAGCAGAACGGCCCTGCGACGAAGGGGTCGTAAGTGTTCTCCGCGGAGACGTGGTCCTTGCACCCGAGGCCCAGCCCCTCGGCGATGTGGGAGACATCGGCCTTCTGGTGCGGCCACGAGCCCTCGCTCTCGTAGCAGGCCAGCTCGAAGCGCCCGCAGGCGTCCTCGCAGTTCTCACCGTCGCCGCCTCTGACCCAAGTGGCGCCCATCCAGTCGACCTTCGCCGCGGTCACGAGCGCGAGCCTCTCTGAAGCCACGCCGCCATCGACCTCCTCGCCCGGGAGCCCCCGCGTGGCCTCCTCGCTGGGGCGGCCCACCTCGCCCTCGAGCCCGGCAGCGCCCTGGACCCAGGACCGCAGCGGGCCGCGGCCGGGGCGGCCCGCAGCCCACACGCAGGCCCCGCCCACGGCGCACAGGCACCCGCCGCCCCAGAGGCCCCGCCGCACGCGCCCGGCGGCGCCTGCCGGGGGCGTGCCCTCCTGGCACGGCAGGTCGGCGTCGCCTGGAGCCCCGGGGAGCTCCACCGCGGCCCCCGGCGACGCCACGAGGGGCACGTCGCTCCCATCGCGAGCCATGGCCGCCGCGGCCGCCGTGTGCTGGCTCGCACAGCGGAGCGCAGCGGCGATGGCGCGGGGGCGTGGGGGTGGGTGGGCGGCCACGAGCTGTCGGGCCAAGGCGCCGCTCGCCCGGGCAGGACAGGCCAGCTTGAGGGCACGTGCTCGCGCCTCCCGGCGCGCACAGGCCCCGGCGCGCGCAAGGGGGGTACGGCGAGGGCACGGGATAAGGAACCCTTGGGCAGTGGGACCCAGGGCCTGGTGGCCGGTGGAACTCTCCTCGTGGCTTGGCCACGGACGTCGCTGCCGCCGCTATCAGATCAGGAAGCCTCCAGGGCCTGACGCCTCCTGGGCACACTCGTGAACCGACGCCCCCACCGCAGAGCACATAGATGCACTGGGCCAGCAGACTGGGAGCGTCAGAACCCACATGCCGGGCCAGTGCGAGAGCGCGGATGCCGTTGGCGATGGACCCGTCCGCGCGAGGATCCCGAAAGACACATCCGCGGTGGACGATCGGTGCATGCGACTCGTGGTGATTCACCACCCGTATGACGAGGTTGATTCGGCGGCGAGCCCAGGGGGAAGTGAGAAGGGGCTGGCGTTCTGGGAAGGCTCGGAAGCCCCCCCACCCTTCTGAGAAGTGTTCTTAGCTTTCTTGTATAACATGCAGAACTCCTCTCATCATGCCGGGGGGCTTCTGAGAAGTTTCGCCACTCTCTGAGAAGGCCTTCTCCCTCTCGCTTCCCCCCTCGCTCGCCGCCGATCGATTGTGATCAGGAAGAGGAGCACGATGATCATGTTTATGGAGAGGACGCACGTTCGACTCTGCCGAGGCCCAGCAAACACTAAGACTGAGCTCAACGATGTCACAGCATTGCCAACACCAAGCTGCGACAAGCTGAGCCGTGATGCTCACATCCCAGACAAGCCGAGCTTTGATACGACGCGTGGGCTACTTTGATCGACTGCGTGTTGAATTTAACGAAACTGAACCAATCCCAGGTGAAACGTTGGTGCGACATAGGCTGAACAGCCCTGAGCAAACTGATACTAACGCTGAGCTGAACGAGTTTAACGTAAGCTCAGCCAGGCCCTCACTGATGCCACACCATAACATGAAAAGGGTACCGACCTCAACGCGAGCTAACTTGATACGAATGCAAAGGATACTGATGGCACTAAAGACAAGCCGAACGCCACTGAGTGAAGCTACACCCAACCAAACGAGGACAAGCTAGGCGCAGCCATGCTATTTTAAGCTCGATTGAAGAACACAGCCACAAACTCATCGCCTTCAACAATCTCCAGAATTACTGTCCGACCACTTGAGGCAAGTACCTTTTCTGCATGTACGCGGTCCAGAATTTTAGAGAGGATGCCGCTCAACTCTCAAACTGTCTTCCTCACCTCGCTGAGCAACGACGGCATCCGCATGGCATGCCAGCTTTTATCGCACGCGCGGATTCCATATTCGAAACTGATGACGTTTGGCTCCAACTTCGCTTCCCGCATCTCGACGAGCAGCGACAAAACCCACTGCCACTGCTTGTTTCTCTCACACGCGCTGATTACAGCGTTGCAGGTGATGACGCCGACCGCCAACTTCGCCTTCCACATCTTGCTGAGCAACAGCACGGCCTGCTGCCACTGCCCGCCCTTGTGGCACGCGCCGATCCCAGCACTGTAGCTAATGGCGTCGGGCTCCAGAATCGCCTCCACCACCTCGGTGAGCAGCGACAGAGCCACTTCCCACTGGTTGCCTTTTTCGCACGCGCTGATCCCAGCGTTGTAGCTGAATGGAGTTGCCTCGAGGACGACGTCCACGAAAATAGTGGTGTTAGGTCGGGAGTGCCCCCCTACAGGCGGATTTTGGATGGAAAATCAAACATACCCCAAAACATGCTCAAACATAGTCAACAAATATTCGAAACGTCGCCCATTTTTTGTTTTTTACTATTTTTGAATCTTCCTTCTGTAGAGGGACAGGTGCGACTTAAGAGTAGTTGTACGGCCACCTATCAAATTTAGTATTGAGAGAGAAAATTTGCCTGATTACTTGAACTCTGACGGCCACCTGGTCTGCTGCCGTTCGCTGCCGCTTGGTGCTCTCAAGGGTTCTGGCTGGAAGTCGCTGCTGCTTGCTGCGGCGTCTTGCTGCTGCTTGCTGATGCTTCCTGTTGCTCGATTGCTGTTTGCTGCTGTTGCTGCATGCTGCTGCTGTGCTGCTGGTTCTGCTGCCGCTGGCTCTTCTGCTGCCGGCTCTTCTGCTCCTGCAAGATCTCGGGACACTTTCGGAATCTCGAAAGGCACGGGCTGCCTGTGGGCTCATGGGCTGGCCCGCTGGGTCGCCTCTCGGGGCCCTCTTGGGCTGTCCGGGGGGCGTCCTGGGGCCCTCCAGGGCTGTATTGGAAGCATTGGAGCCCTCCTGCGCCGAAACACATCGAAAACCAAACACACCGAGAACAGCCTTCGGGCTTTCAAGGGCGTTCGCTCTGCTGGGCGCCTCTTGGGGGGCTCGTCCTTGGGCCTCCCGTGTGCCTCATGGGGACCTTTTGCCGGCGGCGAGTGAGGGGGGGAAGTGAGAAGGAGAAAGCCTTCGCAGAAGGCGGCGGGGCTTCTCAGAAGCCCCCTGGCCTTCTGGGAGGCTTCCGGTGCCTCGGGGGAAGGCCTGGAAAGCTCATCGGAAGGACGGGGGACTTCCCAGCCTTCCGAGAAGGCCCGCACCGTCTCACTCCCCCCCCCCGGGCTCGCCGCCGAGATTGGGCAGTCTTGGAGGCCTCTCGGGTCTTTGTCTGCCGAATCGCCCTCGTGCCAGCGGGAGGCCTCGGGCGGGCCCCCAGGGCCCCGCCCCGGGCCGCCCGAGCTGCTTCTCCGGGCGGGGAGCTGGCCCTTCCCGATCCGGGAGCCCTCTTGGCATGCGCGTGGACCTGGGATGCCGGAGATATGGGCCTCGGAGAACAGCAGCGAACACAGGCATGGCCGATTTCAGAAACCCTGGAACCCAAAAACGTTGTCATCTCTGGGAGGTCGACTTTTGCTTCCGCCACTTGCCGTCGAGCTTCCGCCAGCCTCCGCCGGCGCACGCGGCCTCGTTTTACTTCCGCCGACCTTCCGCCGCCTTCCGCCGCGGAAGAGACGACAGCTCCTTCGATCATCGAAGGCAAGGCCGTTTTCGGAACGCTCCATATGACATCAGGGTCAACCTGCGAGTTCCGCATTTCCCTCAAGAGCGTCAGAGCCTTCTCCCAGTGACCAGCCTTCTCGCATGCACTGATTCCAGCATTGTAGCTGATGGCGTTCCGATCTACCGCCTCTTCCCCCATCTCAATCAATAGCGATAGAGCGTACTGCCACTCTCTACCTTTCTCGCACGCGCTAATTCCAGCATTATAGCTGATGTCATCAGGTTGTAATTTCAAGCTGCGCAACTCTCTCAACAAAGATACCGCTTGCTGCCACTGCCCGCATTTCTCGCACGCGCTAATTCCGGCGTTATAGATAATAGCGTCCAGATCTAAGTTGGCATTCCCTGCTTCTCTCAGTAGCGACAGTGCCTGATACCACTGCCCGCCCTTCTCGCACGCGCTAACTCCAGCGCCGTAAATGATGACATCGAAACGCATTTTCGCTGTGCCCATGTCTCTGAGCAATGACAACGCATGTTGCCACTGTGCTCCCTTCTCACACGCGCTGATGCCGGCACTGAAAGTGAAAACGTCAGCTTCCACTTTGGTTTCCCACAAGTTGCCGAACAATGAAAGCGCCTGCTGCCATCTCCCACACTTCTCGCAAGCGCTGATCCCAGAACTGTAGCTGAAGACGTCCGGTTCCAGGCTCGACTCCCCGATTTCGAAAAGCAGCGAAGACGCCTGTTGCCACTCGCCACCTGTCCCACAAGCGCTGATTGCAGCGTTGTAGCTGACAACGTTCGGCTCCACTCTCTTCTCCCGCATCTCGCCGAGTAGCGACAACGCCCGCTGCCACTGTCCACCTCTGTCGCATGCGCTGATTCCAGCACTGTAGATGATGACGTCCGCTTCCAATATCGAATCCCCCATGTCGCAGAGAAGCGACAGCGCCCTTTGCCATTGCCCGGCTTTCTCACACGCGCTGATTCCAGCACTGTGGCTGACAAGGGTGGGCCCCTGGCTGACATCCACGGCAGGTGGCATGGTCTCATCAAGATCCTCCTGGTGGCCTTTACAGCTTACTTGCATGCGAGAGTGAGGACCGCTTGTCTGTTCGGCCGCTTGCCTGCACTCCTGCTTGCCAGGTTGCTAGCCTGGTGGCCTGACAGCCTGAGGCCTGCTCTGCCTGGCCGATGTCTTCCTGGGCCGAAGCCGCACCTGCTGCTCGCGCTCGGTGCCAGCCGCTGCTGGCCACTGCCGCGCGCTGCTGTGCGCTGCTGGGCAGTCCGGCAGCCTAGGGTGGAGAAGCAAGCAGAGATATCGTGGGAGCCCACTTTGGTCCTCATGAGGGCCATCTTGAAGCCCTCTTGAAGCCTGTCGGGGCTGCGTCGGCTTTCCTGGGAGGCCTAGGGCCTGTCTGGACGGGTCTTGGAGCCATCTTGGGGCGGTCTTGGACTGTCTTGGGGCCATCTCGGGGCCATCTTGGAAGCCATCCCCGGCCGTCCTGGGCTTTCGTTGGGGCGTCCGTGGCCCTCTTTGAAGCTCTTGCTGGCCTCGTGGGTTCTCTTGGAAGCCTCTGGTGCTTTTCTTAGAACGGAAAATTGGAGAGTGCCAGACATCTACGAACACCCAAAGAAATTTGACAACTTGAACACCTTGGGGGCTCCGCGCCAACCGATTTTGAAGCCTCGTGGCGCTACCTTGGTGCCATCTTGGGGCGTCTTGGAGCAACTGGGGCCGTCTGGGGGGTCTGCGTGGCGGTCGTGGGTGCCTCCTGGGGGTTCCCTTAGGTCGCGCGGAGCCTTCAAGGGGCTCCCCTGAACCGTCTGGTAACGTCCGGAGGGACGCGCCGGGGCTGGCTGGGCCGATTTTTGAATACTCGAATCAAGCGCATTCTGGCACGCACTGCGCCCTGCATTGTAGGAGAGATGACGCTTGGCACCAGCTCCGCCTCTGCCATCTCGTTGAGCAGCACCAGCGCCTGCTGCCACTGACAGCCTCTCTCGCACGCGCTGACTGCAGCGCTGTAACTGACTGGGGCGAAGCCGTGGACTTACATCGCCGACTGTCGCTGCGAATGCGAATATTTTTACCCAGAGCCCAAGTCCAACAAGACAATATCAGGTGAACTTAGCTGCCTGGATACGCCCGTTTTGATACGCAGCTCGTGCCGTGCTCAAACCGTCCGTGTCAATATGTTGCGGGATGGCTCAGCGTATAGGCCCACGTTTTGGCGAACGCACCGCGTCAGACCTACGTTTTGAATGTACGTGTTGAGCTCCGTATCAATACGCTGCGTGCTGCGCGTTGCGTGTCGGGGCAGCTAAGCAGGTGAGATGTGACCCCGCGGCTTTACCAATGTCTAGGCACAGCGGAACCTGTGCGCGGGGGGTCCCGAGATGGCACCCGCTGCCATCCTGGAGCCTCCCTCTCCATCCCCGCACCCTAACCCTACAGATTTCTCTTTCCTTGTCCCACTGCCCTCCTCCATTCTTCTTCATCCCTCGTCGTCGTCGTCGTCGTCGTCGTCGTCGTCCGAGTCGTTGTCATCCTCGCCCTCCTCTCCACTCCTCCCATTTTTTCCAACCATCCCGTGGTGTTGGGTCCTCGTTTTAAAGAGACAGCGCCCGCATCTTTTTCCTCTCCTCCTCCTCCCTCCTCTCATCCCTGCCCCTGCCCTCCGCACCGCTCGAATTTCGGCAGCCACCGACAGCCCCAGTGACAGAGTCCGCATGCGCCTCCCCAAACACCGCATGCCCATTTCGGCACACCGCTCGCGCGTTTCGTGGCCCCATAGAGAACTCCACCGAAGGCCCTGTGGCAAGGTCCGCATGCGGCACCCCGCCCACCGCATGTAGATTCCAGCACACCCCTCACACGGTTCGTGGCCCCACAGCGAAGTCCGCCCAAGGTCCCAGTGGCACGGTCTACATGAGGGCTCCCCGCCCACCGCATTTCCATGTCATCGCGCCTCTCACGCGTTTCGTGGCCACGTAGGGAGCCCCACTGAAGGCCCCAGTGGCAGGGTCCTCATGCGGCTCCCCGACCACCGCATGTCCATTTTGGCACACCTGTCGCACGTTTCGTGGCCGAAGGGAGCTCCACCGAAGGCCCCAGTGGCAGGGTCCACATGCGTTTCCCCGCCCACCGCACGTCCACTTCGGCGCACCCGTTTCGTGGCGGCACACCCCTTACACGTTTCGTGGCCCCATAGGAAGCTCCACCGAGGGCACCAGTGGCAGGGCCTACATGCGGCTCCCCAGCAATTTTGACACACACACACACAAACACGCTCTCAAGCGTTTCGTGGCGGCATCGTGGCCCGCCCGAGCCACGCCTTCTGTCGACTGTCCAATTCCACCAGCCCTTTGGGCTAACGCGGTCTAGCGAATTCTTTCTTTCCTCTTCCGAAAACTTGTTCCCTTTCGGGATGTTTGATCACCCCTCCTCCCTGATTTTTGTTTTAAAAAGCTCGCGCGACGCGCTAGGGCGCCCAAGATGGTCCACGATGGCTCCAAGAGGGCCTCCGATGCTCCGAAATGGCCTCCAATATGGCTCAAGACAACCAGCGATTGTTCAATTTAGCTTCCGACATACGTCCAAGAGGCCCGATGAAGGCAACAAGACGATTCCAAGTGCCTCTGGGCATCCCCACGAAGCCCAAATCCTTTATACACCGACTGGAAGCTTTCTCGCTGTTTCGCTTTCGATGCGCTTTTGGGGCCTGACGATGGCCTCCCAGACGGCCCCCCCCAAAAAGCCCAGGAGCGCCCCAAAAACGCCCCAAGAGGCGATTTTGATGCGATTTTGATGGCCCCAGGGAGGGAGGGCACATTTGGGACCTCCCCATTTTGATCGAAAGCCTCCAAGTTGACCCCAAAGGCCCTCCAGGGCTCCCCAAGGACCCCCAGGTGGATTCCAAAAGGGGCCCCCAACGCCCCCCCCCCCCCCCCCCCCAAAGGAACCTAAGAGGACGAGAGAGCGTGATCCACCGTCACTTTACTGTGGAAAATTTCCCCCCTCTTCCCCCAGAGCCCCGGGGTCCCCCCTTCTCCGAAAATCCCCCCCCCCCCCCCCCCCCCCTGCTGGATCCCCCCCCCCCTTCCCCTCGGCCCCCCCCCCTCCCCTAACCCCCCCACCCCTCCTCCAGAAAACCGGAAAAAGGGGGTTCACACCGGTTCGAACCCACCCCCCCCCCCCCCTCCGGAAAACCGGGGGGGTCACTACCGGTTCGAACCCCCCCCCCCCCCCCAGAAAACCAAGGGGGGTCACGACCTGAATCCCCCCCTCGAAAACTGGGGGGGTCACTACCGGTTCGAACCCCCCCCCTCGAAAACCAGGAGGGGTCACTACTGGTTCGGTCCCCCCCCCCAGAAAACCGAGGGGGGTCACTACCGGTTCGGACCCCCCCATCCCCCACGCTCTTCGCCAGCAAACGACTCCCGGGTCCCTCCTACCGTCCGCGCCACATCCCCCACTGGTGTCCCCAGCACCACTGTCCCCACCACCACTGCCCCCACTGTTCCCACCACTGTCCCCACTGTCCCCGCCAATGCCCCCACCACTGTCGCACTGTCCCCACTGTGCCCCCGCTGTTCCCACCACGGTTCCACTCTCGCCAGTTTCTCCACGGCCCCAACCACTGTCCCACTGTCCCCACTGTCCCCACCACTGTTCCCACCACGGTTCCACTCTCTCCAGTTTCTCCACGGCCCCAACCACTGTCCCACTGTCCCCACTGTCCCCGCCGCTGTCCCACTGAGCTGTCCCACTGCTCCCACCACTGTCCCCACTGTCCCCGCCACTGTGCCCACTGTACCTCTGCCCCATTATCCCACCGCCGTCCTCGCCACCGCCCTCACCACTGTCCCCACCACCGCTGTACCCTCCACTGTCCCACTGTTTCCACCACATTCCCACTGTCCCCACACCACTGTCCCCACCACCACCGTCCCCACCACTGCCCCGCTGTCCCCACTGTTCCCACCATTGTCCCCGCTGTCCCCACCAGTGCCCCCACCAGTGTCTCGCTGTCCCCACTCTCCCCACCAGTGTCCCACCACGGTCCCACTTTCCCCCCTTTCCCCACGGTCCCCACCACTGTCCCATTGTCCCCACGACATCCACCACTGTCCCACTGTCCCCGCCGCTGTCAGCCTGTGCTGTCCCACCGTCCCCACTGTCCCCATCACTGTCCCACTGTCCCCACCACTTTCCCCACCGTACTACTGTCCCACCACTGTCCTCACCACCGCCTTCACCACTGTCCCCACCACTACCGTCCCCACCACTGTCCCACTGTCCCCACCACTGTCCCGCTGTTCCCTCGCCACTGTCCCCACCACCACCGTCCCCACCACTGTCCGCACCACTGTCCCACTTTCCCCGCACCACTGTCCCCACCACCACCGTTCCCACCACTGTCCCAGCATCCCCACCATTGTCCAACCCCTTTTCACTACATCCTCTCGTCAGGCTTCACTCCTCACTACTCACTCCTCCTCCTCCTCCTCCTCCTCCTCCTCCTCCTCCTCCTCCTCCTCCTCCTCCTCATCACTCCTCCTCGCCCCTTCGTCTCCAGGCTCCCCCTTCCTTTGCTCCTCTTCCTGCTTACGGCTCCAGATCCTGGATTCGGTCCTGGTCCTGTTCCTGCTCCTGCTTCACCTCCTCATCCTCATCGCCTCCCCTCCTCCTCCTCCTCCTCCTCCTCCTCCTCCTCCTCTTCCCACCGCTTCTCCTCCTCCTCCTCCTCCTCCTCCTCCTCCTCCTCCTTCTCGTCCTCTTCCTCCTCCTCCTTCTTCACCTCCTCTCTCCTCCTTCTCTACAGTTGCACCGTATGAATACTACCCTCCTCTCTCCCTTGACCCTGATCGGAAGCATTGTGCCCTCTCCGCGTGTTGTTTGTTTCTGCATCGGATTTCAAATAACTTATACTTCCAACGTGTTTTTGCACTCCGATCGTTTCCAATCCCTCAAAAAGCTGCTCCAGGTGCGCCGTTGGCCCCATTCCCGCGCCTCCGACTGTTCGAACTCGTGCTCCCGTTGCAGCACTAGCGCTATTGCTTCTCAGATACAAGATATGAATACTACTCCCCTCTCTCCCCTGACTACGTGCGTGAGATCTCCCGCTCCCTCCGCGTTTTGTTTTCACACGTAAGACTGAAAACACAACGGTGATATTTCTGATGCATGTGTCACAATCCACTTGTTCTCGATGTTTCGAAATGGTGCTCCCGCTGCAGCGTGTGTCTTACTTTCGGGTCGGCGCTTTGCTCCCGTCGCTCAGAATGGCGCTCCTGCCCCAGCGCGTGCCACTTTTCTGGATCCAGGCCCCTCTTCAGCGTTATCGCCCCCTCATTTCCCCTCCTCCGCCTTCCCCTGGCCCTTCTGCTCCCCCCGCTCCTCCCGCTCCAGTTCCTGCTGCTGCTGCTGGTCCTCGTCCTCCTCCCTTCCCGAGCCTTCTTTTCCTCCTGCTCGCCCGCCACCTCGTCCTCCCAGCCCTCCTCCTGCGTACGCAGCTCCCCCTTCTCCGGTTGCGCACAACACAGAGGCGTCTTCTTGGAGTTCCAGGTCGGCTGAGCCACACGTCCACGGATGGAGGAACCGTCAGCGCAGTTGGAAGAAGACGGGGAGGGAGGGATAGGATGCCCGATGTGGCGCGAGCGCACCAAGCTTACCTCTCTCCTCCCTCCTCCCTCCTCTCTCCCTCCCTCCTCCCTCCTCTCTCCTCCCTCCTCCCTCCTCTCTCCTCCTTCCTCTTCCTGCAGACGCGTTGACGTTTGGCTCAAGCCGCGCCCACTCCTCCCTCCTCACTCCTCTCTCCTCCCTCCTCCCTCCTCTCTCCTCCTTCCTCGTCCTGCAGACGTGTTGACGTTTGGCTCAAGCCGCGCCCATCCCGCCTCGGCGAGCAGCCGTAGCGCCGGCCGCCACTGCCCGCACCTCCCGCACGCGCTAATGCAG